AGATGCACCCCTTAGCCCTGGTGGGGGGCCCAGCCCCGGGGCTGGTGGGGTTGCTGCATGCTCCCGACCTCCTCTCTGCGTGGGTCCCCACCCAGCCATGTTGTCCGAAGCTACAGGGAGGCACCTGCTGTCCTTTGCTTTCTTCAGTCTCGGCCCCAGGCAGCTCTAAGTGGGGGAGGATGGCTCTAGTTTTAAGGGATATTCAGGGTATTTACTGTTACCTGGGCTGGACATCTTTATTACGGGAACTAGGAAAATGGAGTGACTTGTAAGTGCCTGGGGACACTTTCTCAGCTGAAAGTGGGTGGGTTAGATATGGGGTGTGTCTGGGGTTTCATCCAGAGCCAGGGAGGGGGCCCCCCATGTGCACCGAGACAAGAGTTGGGTGCAGTGAGCTGGTTCTCGGATTGTCCCCTGCTCATCCACTCAGCCGAATTGCACAGAGGACAAAAAGGAGGTGGGCAGGATAGAGCCCTGCAGCTGAGTCCCAGAGAAGGCAAGACAATGGCAAAGAACACCAGGAGGGCAAGGATGTCAGAGCAGCGTGGTGTCAAGGAAAGGGAGTGTGGCAAGGGATCAAAGGGTCTGCTGGGGGCAGATGCATGCAAGCAGGTTGCCCACCACATTTGGGGCCATGGCCGGTGTGGGCAAATTTGCAGGGGCAGCTCGTGGGAACAAGAGTTGGCTTGGAGGAAGGGGGGTGAGTGCACAGAGGGCACCATCACCAGCACAGTGTTGGCGGTCCACTTTGAGGAGGTGCCATCACTTATTGAGCTGGCTCTTATGACAGCCACGGAGGGCTTCCCACCCTATTTAAAAGCTGGCTGCAGTGAGTGGTGGGGTACACAGGTCCCTGGGCCGTCTCCCAGTGTGCTAGAGAGTGAGTGCCCAGAAGTGGATCTGTTGGACCGAGGGGTCTGCACACAGCCCGTCTTGCTTGATGCCACCAGTCTGCCCTTCGAAGGCTATGCTGCGCTGCTTCTCACCATGTGAAGGGCTTTCTTACGATGTCTCATCAAGCTCTGATCTTTGGCCGTGAGGTGGCATTTTAACGCAGGCTTTATTCTTCTTATTTTGAGTAAAGCCGAGAATCTTTTCATACATTCAAGAGCCGCTTGTATTTCTTCTTCTGTGAACTCTTTGTTGGTATCTTTTAACATTTTTACATTGGGCTTTTGATATTTTCCTTATTGAGTTATATTAGTTATCTTTTTGAGTATGAAATGTTACCATTTTTTTCTTCTGCATAAAGTCTTATTTTTATGCTCTTGAGTGTGTCAGTATTTTCTTTTATGTTCTGGATTTTTAACATCCTTCCACTCAAATAAATAAAAAAAATTCCTCCCAGCTTTTTTCTTTTTTTTTTTTTTTAAGTATTTTATGGTTTCATTATGATGAAATTAAGCTTGCAATCCATTTAGGATTTATTTGTATATAAGGCACAAGACAGAAACCCAGTTTGATTCTTTTTCCTGGATAGCCGCCCAGACACTGAAACACCACTCACGTAACTCTGTCCCCCTTGGGTATGAATTACTGTATTTGTCACTCCAGGGGAGGAAAACACTCTTCAATCTGCCCTCCTGTGTTCTCTGGCTAAGGCCCTGCAGACAAAAGGCAGACTTACAGGAGAAAAGCAAGTGATCAGTGCATGCAGTACACATGCACACAGGGAAACTCAGTGATGAGTAACTCAAAGAAGTGGTTAGAACTTGGGCTTATATCACATCTTAACAAAGAACAAGAAATCCAGACAGAAGTGACAAAGCCCAGGAAAAGAATTATGGGTTTCCTGGGGTGGCAGATTGTGGGGAGGCAAGTACACAGGGAAATCCGCGAACAGGGAGAGCTAGCTGCAGTGTCAACTCCTGCACTGGGTCTCAGGGTTGCGGGGGCTGTAGGGGCTGCAGGGGCGGGGCTGCCTGGTGATTCACCTCCATCCTTTCCACAGACAGGGGAATGGGGCTGTCTCTACAAATTTATGTCCTGCTTTTAGGCAAATGGGGGGAAGAGCAGAGCTATTTCTTGTGAACTCTTTGTTGGTATCTTTTAACATTTTAACCTGCTGCTTCTCGGCTGCCTTCAGCTCAGAATAATCCCAATGCCAGCATGGCCTGCGTGGCCTGCACAGTCTGTATAGGTGGTGTGTTCTGCTCCCCTTCACCATGTTTATCTCTCCTTTTTGTTTCTTCGTGGAATGGATGGCACTTTGCCATCACATGTGTTTGATGACCCTCCATCTGCTAGAATATGAACCCATGATGGGAAAATCACCATTTGGGACACCTATATTTTTTTATAATTTTATTCTGTAAAATGTGTGTGTGGTGGGGGGAGTAGGCAGCACCAGATGGATGAATGGGGACAAAGGTGGTGCTCTATGAGTCCAAAGGACCCAGTTCTCAAATCCTGTTACACTCCATGCAGCAGTTATGAAATAAGGGGGGGTGCTGGCTCTCATGAGAACTTCATGCTAAATGAGGGGAGGTGGTGGGACCATGACAAAGGGAGGCATCAGTTACTTTCGGGTGACTGCACAGGTCCCAGAGATGCCTGTTAGCTGAGCTCCGAGGTCATGGCTTGGCTCACTGAGGTGGGGTCATGCTAAACAGGTGGTTGAGGTGTAATCTCTGTTATTAATGACGGGGGACCACCTGTTACTGCCACCTGAGACTCAAACCAGGATTCAGTGGAATTACACAAAGCTAAGTAATTATTGCTAAATGAACATATTGAGATAGGACCACTCACGCAAATGCACTGTGCTAGACAATAAGGAGGGACGAGGAGAATCGTGACCTCTGCAGTTAGACCGTGGAGTTAGCAGGCATCTGAGGGTAGCAGTTACTACATTGCATCACAGTCCTATTTCAAGTGGAAACAGATGCCATCAGCCTGGGCACAGAGACCATTCACATGCACACAGGTTAGCACATGAGCATCAGAAGCAAGTATGTGCCGGTGATGGAGAGAGGACATTTTTCCCAAGAGCAGCCTGATTTGCAACCATGTTGGGCGATTCTAAAGCTCACAAGGGGATCCTTTGGACTTAATTGGGTGCTCAAGTTCTGAGAAATTTCTGGAATTTCTGACATTTGCAAATCTTAAGGACAAAAGATTGAGTCTCTGAATACGCCCTGGGATGCTGGCTGACTCTCAGTGGGAGGACTTGCTTGACAGATGGGTTTATTATTTGCACTGCCTGTCCCCAACCCATTCTAATGTCCACAGGTGATTCCCATGAACCACACACAGGCCGCAGGGAGGCCTGTGGCCCAAGCTTCGTGGCCCACCAACTCAGACACGGAAGTCATATAAGTTAGACACTTGACAGTTATCCTCTTGGGAAACTGTCACCCAAGGCTGATTTCTTTCTCTCATTGTCCATGTTGGTGGATCGGGAAAGAGATCCGAAGCTTATTATGGATATTTAAGGAGAGACTTATGGGAAGCTTCCTGCTGGGTGATATCTTTCTGGCCTACTGGGACCATCAGAGACTTGGCTGGCTTTGCTCAGCCTAATCTGTCACTTGATATAACAAGCACAGTGCAGAGATGCACTGAACTTTTTTTTTTAATTAAACAGATAAAATATAGATGCTGAGGTTTATATAGTTCTCTAAAGAGACAGCTTGACCTTCTTCAATAGGAATTTGCTTTTAGAAGGTACTTGGGTGATCATTTTGATAGAACCACAGTTGGAACATTATTATAAAATAAATGACTAAGCATAAACATCAAACACACTCATTCCTTTTAAATGAACTTTTTCTGAGTCACGGTGAATCAGTCTATAGTCTTCATGGCATCTGAACTTCTAGAACAGTCTTTCCCCACTCCCTGTGGTGAATTCAGCAGCAAAGATGAGGCTTACCTGAATAGTCTCTTACCTAATTTAACAAGGACAAATTTCTCTCAAAACCATTGTCTTGTGGTGGCAATTATTTTTCTAGGTGATAGAAAATAATTTCAAGAAGTGTTTAGCGTAGAAAGCTTGCAGAATGTTTCTGAGGACCATTGTGTTGTTTGTCATTTGGCATGTCCAGATCCCTGTTTCTTTCTTTCTGTGTTCTCTTACTATTTTGTCCTTTCCCCACGAGCAAGGTGAGATATTCATGTTCATCCAGCTCCTTTCTGGGCTCCTGACTTCAGAACCACCTCTGGCCTGTCCCTGTCACTTCCCACTGAGGCCAGCTCACAGAGTGATCTGTTTGCCTCCAGGCACCTGCCGCCAGCCACGTCCTCCCCACCCCCTGCCTCCAGCATCTGGACCAGAGCAGCCTCCGTGTGGTCCGGTCCCCACGTTCCCCACCTCCCGAGGTCTCCTGCCCTGGGGGACCCTCTGCAGCCGGACCTCCTGTCACACCCCCTATACCGAGGAGTCTCCTTGCCTCCATTCCTCAGGGCAGCACCCAGCACATAGTAGCTGCTCAGTAAATGCGCACTTGGGGGAGCTGCCCTGCACAGACCTCATGTCTGGCTCAGCTGTGTCCCGCTGGAGTGCCTCCCCTCCCTCGGAGCCCTCTTGGTTTGATGACGCTTACCAACTGCAGAAGCTGATAATAACACTCAGAGGACCAAATTTCTTTTGATAACATTCTGACCCACTTTGGAAGGATGCTGACCCGTAGCAGTACCTGATCCGGTCAGGGCCTGTGCCAGGACCGTGACCTTGAAGGGAACACCAGGAGGCCACAAGTCTGGGTATTGGTTTATTAGATGGCATCCTAACCAAACATACAACAGAGGAGCGTGGCATCGATACCTGTCACACGGTCAGGATGCATCCATAGCACCAGGAAGAGCTAGGGTGCTGCCCGTCAGAGGTTCACGATGACCTGTTTGTTCAAAGGGAACTGGGTGACCCCTGCGGGGCGGGGGGACTGCTGTCTACACTGAATGCACAGCAGATGTTTTCCCTGGGGATGTGCACATGTGGTCTCTGGGTTGCAGAATCCTGATTAATGTGACAAATGGATCTCTCTTCCTGCCTCCTTAAGGGAAGCCATCAGCCGCGTGTGTGAAGCCGTCCCTGGCGCCAAGGGAGCCTTCAGGAAGAGAAAGGTACTGTCCCCTGTGTCTTCTCCCCACGTGGCACCTTCAGTCACACCCCACCCATCAGGGCCCCGTTAGGGTCCCCCTGCCATGCGCTCGGCAGGACAATTGGCTGTCACTGGCCCACCCAAGTCAGCACTCCATTGCACCCCAGGGGCCAAAACCTACAGACAGTGATGAGAACAGACACGTGAGACAGGGCCCGAGCTCCACTAAGCCTTTAGGGGCGTGAACTCACTTCACTGGGGCAGCATTTGGGACAGACGTCCCACTGCTGTGCTGGTAGATTTAACCAGCGGCTCTTGGGGGGCAGAGTAAGAAGATTACTGGCAAAATCTGTAGTGTTTGCCAGTTTCCGTGGTGTGTGTACTCCGCCTGGCAGATTTCAAGCTCTAATGTGACATCCCTGAAGACGTGCAGCAGCACAATCATTGCACGGGCCCCCACCTGGTGCCCAGGTGCAGTAGACGCGCATGGCCAGAACAGCACAGATGACCATTAATGTAGCAGAAACAGCTAGAAAGAGACGAGTTTTGAGTATTGTTTTTTTGTTTTTTAAATGTAATTTATTTAATTGCAAGTTTACATAAATTAGTTTTTCACAGCAGCTGCTTTTAAAGCCCAGCTCATAAAATTCCTGCAAATGTAATAATTGTCTCTCATTAGCTGGTAGAGCCTGCTCCAGGATGCCACGGATATTCCCATTTTACAGATGGCATAAACCGAGGCACAGAGAGAGAAGCCACAGTGTGCGTAGGTGGTGGGCTGAGCTCAAGCCCAGGTCACTCCACCTTTTCACTCTGAGGTGGTTAGGTCGGTAGGGAAAAATATGGATTGAGAGAAAGCTCAGAAAAACTCTCTGGTTAAAAGTCCAGCAGGTACATAACTAAGTGCTCACCATCGGGCCTGTCTATGCCCAGACTCTATCAGGGGGAGCATCTCTGGTGTCTCTGAGTCTGTCCTGAGGCTGAGGTTTGCAGGCAGGTTACTGTGTTTGCCCCTGTCACTTCCCGGGCTGCAGGTGGGTTTTGTCTTCATGGCCTGGGGACATTGGTGAAACCACAGGGCAGCTGGGTTTCAGGCAGAGAACTTTGGATCTTGAATCTCGCATGCAGTAGCTAGGTGGGAGCGTGAGCACAGAGCTAGGGAAGCTCCTCTTTCAGAGCCAGGCGAAGGTGGTGGAAGTAAGGTGCGTTTCAGGGCTCCACCCCAGGTGTGACTTAATCAAAAGGGGGAGCGTCTCTATTTTTAAATAGCTCTTTCAGGAGATTAAAAAGCAGTGCATGCCTGGTTAAGAACTAGTGTTAATTGGCATATCTAAAGAGGGCACATTCTCATCTGAAAGGGAAGGGTGGTCAGTGGGCCCTGGACGGGAGGCGGGTTTTGGCAGTGCCTGGGGGAAGGTGCATGGTGGGAAAACGCAGTCCATCGGGCCCATGTGAAGGACCTTTAGTTAAGCCGAACCGGGTCATCTGTCCTTGTGCGGGCCCAGCAGGTTCTAAGTCTGTGAGCTCGGGCCTGGACGATGTTCCCGCCAGAGGGTTTGTGCTCCATGCCTCTCAGCAGTGAGCAGTCTCGAGACTCCGCAGGATGCTCTTTGCCCCATGAGCTGGACCCTCCTACTCTGGCCCTGAGTCCTTTAATGAAACCGGTTTCTGGGCCTCACAGCTGTGGGCGCTGGTCTGTGCACCTGCTCCAGGCTTAGGAGGGACATGAGACGCGTCCCCACAGGAGGCACCTGGACTCGGTGCTGATGTCCCAGCGTGTGCACAGGAAATGTTACCGCCACCTGTTGTGTGCTGCAGAACTTGTGTGTTAGCGTCGGATCCTGCCTCCCAGCTCCTTCGTGGCACAGTCTCCTTCCTGAGCCCCATGAGGGCGGGAAGGTGGAGGTTTGGGGGTGTGGCAGACGGGAACCACGGAGAGGCTAAGACAATGGGAATCCAAAGCTAAAATCACGCTGCTTGGTTTCACAGCCTCCCAGCAAAATGCTGTCCAGCATCTTGGGCAAGAGCAACCTCCAGTTTGCGGGGATGAGCATCTCCCTGACCATATCCACCGCCAGCCTGAACCTTCGGACGCCCGACTCCAAGCAGGTCTGTAGGCACTCGGGTGCCCTGCCCCGCCCATAGCCCCCATGACGGGTGTTCGGGGCAGAGCACGTTCGTCTAAAATCTTCACTCATCTGCAAACTTTAGCTTCTCTGAAGGGTCACCAACAGAATATAGATGGAATTGGTTTTCTTTAATTCTGCTATAAATGACCTTTCCCTTGAGGATAATTCTGAAGTCATTGATTTACTCGCAGTGTAAGGAGAGGTGCGTGTGTCTGCCACGGGTTTCATTCCTTTTGAAATCCCGTTTCCTTTGCTCTGCAGCCCACGTCTTACTTCCACATTCGATCATCTCTGAAGTGGATGGCACGTGGCGGCTTAATGAGCCCTGTCTTTTCTGTCTCCGTGGTTCCTCGTCTGGAGCCTCCGGCGGTTGGCAGCGTCCCGTGATAGTGGACATGGCCCGGCCGGAGTGGGAGGTCCGCCGGGGCCGAGGCCATACAGTAGTGGCAACCGAGGGGTGAAGTCAGTGGGGGAGGGCCGGCCCCTCGGCAGCGTCTGTCGTAGGCGTCTCTGACCTCAGTTCCTTCAGCTGGAACAGTGGGTAGAGGTCAGGGGCCGTCCTGGGTGCCCACAGGTGCAAATGCTCATAGACACACAGGGGCGTGAGTTCTGCTCCGCCCGGGCCTCCGGACAGTGTAAGCTGGAAATCGGACGCATCCACACGGCCAGAGATGGGCCAGCCCCAGGCCTCCCAACGACCCTCCCTGACTCTGGCCGTGTGCTCCCAGGGATGCCCGGGGTTACCTTTATGTTACTACACATATCTTTATATTTACTGATTTCAGTGTTTCCCAGGTAAGCAAGCAGCACCCCAGCTTCATTTATTCATCTGCCCCCCACCTGAGTGTTGAAATAAATTCTAGATCCAGCGTAGAAACGAGAGGCAACGTCTGGGTTTGTTTCGACGCCTCACGCTCTCTCCTTTTCCGTAGCCCACCCAATAGATCATCATCATCTTTTCTCGTTGGTCCACCGACGGGTGGGAGGACTGTCATTTAGGTGGTGGGTTGGGAGGGTTCAGCGGGCTCAGCCTTGCTCTGGGGCTGCCTCAGGGCTGAGCACCTGCGGCCCGGGCTGTGAAGGCCCTCACCCTGCCCAGCGGGCGAAGGAGGCAGGTCCCCTTGGCCCTGAACCACACGCCCTCAACCACACTCACACGATGTATGGGTGCTCCCGTTTCTGGAGATCCTCAGGGTGGCCCTCAGTTCTGTGGGCTACACATCGTAGTCCCCTCCTCTCCCTCATTCCTCCCTTAAAACAGCAATCAGGAAGAGGGGAAGGGATGCGGCCGTCCTGGGATTGGGGGCTGGTTGGCTGTGTCCGGTCCTCGCTGTCTGTGGAGGATGGGTGTGGGGCTGGGCTCAGGAGCGGGGGCGCCCTCCCGGACACGGGAGTACAGCCTGGGATGATTGGTGCGTGTCCCGGCCACATCCCCTGGCTCTCCTGTGGCGGAGTGTACACGGGGTGCCTGTTGCAATCAATTTAGGAGCAGGCCCGGCTGGACGTTCCCCAGCCCGCACAGAGGGACCATGAAAGGGCCCGGCCACTCCCCTCTGCAGAGCGCACAGGGAGGAGAAGCACCATCAACCTCCCAGGGATGGAAACACCCGCTTTCGGTTCACCATCTCCAGACTTCTTGCTCTCCGTTTAATTTCCATCTTACCCAAAGGGCTGAGAACAACCACACACTAATGTCAGGCGTGATCGTGGAGACCAAATACGATTTCCATTGTATCCCCCAAGTCATAACATCTGCTTCAGTTTTAAACCCCAGTACGAGAGCTGCCTTACGAGCAAAAACTAAACAAAAATCAACACCTTTTAGAAGTTTAACCTCACTTGGGGATTGCTGGTGCTGGCTGCCATGCTGGGGGCCTCCTGGCCCGGGGCAGGAAGCAGGAGGGTTCCGGAAGGCTGCACGCGGCTGCAGGTGGTTGGATCCGGCAGGGTCCTCATGGGCTCCAGAGCCGGCCTCCTTGTTTGTATCCAGTTACACGCTCAGGTCTTTCTAGATCCCAAGCGGTTTACAAGTGCCAACAACCCAAGTAAGCATTTTAACTGTCTGATTTTCTCTTACAGCTCAGCCATAGTCTTGCTTTGAGGGTTACGGGAGCGTGGCTGGGAGGCCCCTGGGATGGTAGGGTGTCACCTCCGTAATTTCCCCCTGCCTGCTGCCGAGGGCTTGAGGGGCCGTGCGGAGATAACCCTACACTGGTGGTATTGGGGTAGGGGCAGGACTGCTGTTTCCACCCCTGGAATTTACTTCAGTGTCATTACATTGTCTTCAAAATGATACAAATAGCAGGGAAAACTTACGTAGCTTTTTAAATTTAGGGCAGCTCCTAATTTACTCAGGGTCTCCTGACTCCCACCGCAGGCAGCCGTCTACAATGCTAATGGAAATTTCCCAGTTTGAAATAAGCTTGGGATGCCCTTGCTGGCCTTTAAGTTGATCACATTGATTACAAGAGTGCCTGAGACGGCCCCACGTCTGATGCGGGCTTTCTTGATTTGTACGTGCCCGGGATTCAAGTGGGTGACACGCTCCCCTCGGCGCTGCGGGCCGCGTGTGTCTCTGGAGACGGAGGACGTGTGTCGGCATGTGTCTCTGCACCGTGGACATGTGTCGGCGTGGGGCTGAGACGCTTTCCTTGTCAGAGAGCCCCGTGTGTGGTCACAGTGCTGCCCACGGCCCGCTGTCGCCCCTGGGCCTTAGGCTCTCCGTCTGTGAAGTGGGCGCCCCTCCTTCCTCCCTTGAGGGCTGCCGTCAGACCCACGTGACATGGCTCGGGCCGAGCGGCTAGACCAGCAGGGGCAGCATTGGGAAAAGCCCATTAACGGTGGGTGGCCGTCACGACTGATCACTGTCGTGTTCGTCGGGTACCCGCTTGACCCATCTTCAGGACACCTTGCAGGGTCCTCCCGCCTGCCAACAAGCAGTTGGTTTTCAGAGCTGAGGACCGCGTACTGACGACCTCTCTCGTTTCTTGTTCTGGGCAGATCATCGCGAACCACCACATGCAGTCCATCTCCTTTGCGTCCGGGGGAGACCCGGTAAGTGCCCACGGCTTGTGTTCCTTGTTCTCGCTGGGAGTCCCCGAGAAGAGGTCTAGCTTCACGACCGGGAAGGGTAACCAGGATGCCGGCTGCCCCCTCCCGATTCCACAAGCTCTTCTCGACGACCATGAATTTTCATTTCCTCAGCCCAAAGCTGTCCAAAAATCCTTCAAGTGTTGGCTTTCTGAGGAGCTCTTGGGGCCATCCCTAGTCTCAGAGCCGACAGGGTCCCAGTCTGGAGATTGCGAGTCCTGCCTCGTTCCTTTCTTCTGTGGGGCCTCCCTGAGGGCCCTCTGATTTCCTATTTGAAGTCAACTGGAAGGCTGTGAATTTACTTAGTCTGCTTTATTCATAGATGTTTGGAATTAGAATTCTTCTCCCCAAATTTAATGCTGTTGTCTTACTGGTTTGCTTTGCCAGCAGGGAAGGAGTGCAGAGAGAGAGCGAGAGAGAGCGCAGAACGAGAATGTTCTATTTTTGTATTGCCTCTTTTGTTAAGAAGGTGGGGTCACAAAGGGATTTGCTCCTACCTTGGTCAGGAGCACCAGGAGGTGGTGTCCACGTGCTCAGTTTCAGGGTCATCAGAAAGCCTCCCCCTTCTCCTCCTCCCTCCTCCTTCTCCCCCACCCACTAACTGCTGCTCCCTGTTGCCCACCAGCCCTTTGGAGCAACCCAGGCAGCAAATTGTCTCCAGGGAAGGAAAACCTTTCAGCCCTTCCCGCAGCGAAGGGGAGGAAAGCACCCCTCCCCCCAAGACTGTTATCATACCATTTCTCATTGGTCCCAGTAACATTTTCACCGATCTGGGGAAATATTTAAAAATTAGGACAACAACAGGTGAGTATTTTCTTGGACCTAAATTGACTCAAAAAGAAAAATTGTTCTATATCCTGGCAAGACATCCCTTCGCTGTTAAATAATCTTTTATCATCACAGAATGGAGGTTTAGAAGCGGCATTTTGTTCTGTAGAAGTTTACGGTCCAAGGCAGCCCGCGTGACCGGTGCCAGAGGTCGTGTCTGGGTCTGGCCCGGGGAGGGAGTATTTCCCAGGGTCTGTGTTGATCCCACACGCTCTTCCTCCCCTGCTCCCTTTACCTGGGGAACCTGCCTCTAGCCCGAAGGTGAAATAAGGGGGGCGGTTTCCACTGCTGGCTCTGGTCTCCACATTTCCAAAGGACAGTACCGTCCGGGACTGGGTATCTGGGCTGCAGACAGCCTGCGCCCGCCGCCCCCACCCCAGCTGCTGCAGCCCCCTGGGAGGCATGATGGGGCCCAGGGCGCTGGCAGGAGAGGGATTTACCGCCCTGCACATGGTTCTTTGCCCTCAAACCCCCACCTAATTGACAGAGGATGACAGGGCACCATCCGAGCACCCCTCAGTACTTCCACTGACTCACGCTGTCTCCCACACTTAGGGTCTTATCCTCAAAAGTCTCCCATCATGGTCTCCTCTGTCCCCTGCCTTCCCTTCTACTTTCTTTCTAGTCCTTTCATTTCTTATGTTTAATTGTAAAGTGAAAGACCTCATTGAGACACACATCTAGACAGTGGGAGTCAGCCACAATCAAAGCCATCTGAAGGGCATCTCTGAGGATGCTATGTGGAGGGACAGGTGTGCCATTCTCCACCCGCGCTGCACCTGCACACCTAGCTGTCCTCACACCTTCCCCTGTGTCTGCATCGGCTCTAATCGACTTGCAGGGGCTCTAACTGCTGACCCAATATGCTGCTTGGAGCCATAGTTTCTGAAATTTGGGAGGTAACCCAGCCTGAAAAGTAAAAGGAAGAAAAGAACACACCTGTAGTCAACAGATTCTTCCAAGAACTTGTCTCAAACCTCATCTAATGCTGATGTTAGGAGTGGACATACAGAGATGGAAAATTCTGGAAGCCAAATACATTGGCTTGTGTTAAAATTACGTTACTCTCCAGGATGCGCACAGGTCTATGAGGTGCTTTCAAATTTCCTCATCATCTCATCATTTAAAAAAAAAAAAAAAAGGAAGCCTTCAGTGACCCTTAAAGTAATTCATAACCTTTTTATATTTTCTTCTGATGCTGAAAATGTCATTAGGAGGACAGGAAACCCAGTTACTTTCCATTTTAACCAATCAAATGTGTGTTCATGTTGTGCATGAGTTCCCATTCCAAACTGGTTTGTCACCACTCTAATTGGTAGATGTTTAAATAAAACTAACAATTCCAGGTTGTATTCCTGGTTCTGTCACTAAGTGTGTATCTATTTACTGCTTTGTGCTTTGGTTTACCCAGTAAGAAAATGGCATTTTGAAATATCAAATAAGACAGTGAAAAACACGGTTAATCCAAACTCCCCAAAAGGTGCACTATTATTCTAATCTACTGTAATTAACAGTGTTCCAAGGCCCCCAAGGAGTGCCGGAATGCTGGCCAGGCTCAGAACGTCTCGGAGAGTGAGAACGGGGATGGGATGAACACAGGACAGGCACTTGGAAGCCCCATCTCAGAACTAGGGGTGTTCAGCGTGTGGCTGTGTGATGTCTAGAACAATGTTCTGAATGGCAATACACCCCTGCCCCCACAGTGTGCCAGAAAATGATCAATATTGACATTAGAAGAGCTCAGCTCTGGGTCCATCTGGGGGACGGGACACGTGTCACAGCTCCTTCCTGGTCTTCCTTTCCCAGAGCAGCATTTCTCAGGCTGGAGTGAGAATTTAAAAAGAAGAATTTCCTTGCACTTTCCACTTGTGCTCACTCAAATTGATTTTGTTACCCAAATATGCACAAACATAAATCAAGTATTGACTCCTTCTGTTTCGACTTCTCATTGAACACTAAACCCCAATCCAGGTCAGAAGTTTAATACCAATAAACACGGGAAAGCTGACAGCATTCAGTTACATTAATTTGCTGTGATGGATGGTTTTGGGTCTCTGCTCTCAGCGTGCCTCTGGAACCTGCCACCATAGTGCAGGATCCTTCAAGATCGGCCTCTCTCCACTACCTTCGGTGCCTGGATGACTCAGTCCTTCCACTGATTTATTCTATTCAAGCAAGCCCTTCAGTGATACATCATTATGTACAAATGTGACATTCATTGCTTGAATTGGGGCAAAATCATCTAGTCTGAGTGTTCTTTTTTCTCTAATTCTTTACAAACCTGGCACCCGTAATATCAGAAACCCAACAGAGAACCTTGGTGCTGACAGCACACGCAGAACTGACACCACAGTGGTCACACGGGTGGTCCCAGATATTCTTGTATTAATTTTTAAGATTATCATGGAAATGAAAACACAAATTTAAAAAAAAAATTCTGATGACACCTCAAACAACGGGGACTATACTTGCCCAGCCCCAGGGTTCCACGGATCACAGACTGAGAGACACGAGTGCTGTCATAGGACCCTTCCAATGCTGTTAGCCCCTGAACCCATGAAGAACATCTGTGACTCCAAGCTGCAGATGGCTTCAGATCCCGACAGATCTTCCCTGTTGGAAATGACCGGAAGCCGGGTCCATGCCCTTCCCAGCTCAATCTATGAATATACCAGTGGGCAGTGGCCTGAGCAGGAGGATGGAACAGCATAGGCAGGCTGCACGCCAGAGGGACCCCAGGTAGCAGCCCGTCATGTCAGAAGCTGCCAGGAGAGCCCTCGCCATGAACTCTGGGAAATGGTGTATACAGACAAGTGCCCGGCACCTGGCACCTCCAGCAGTGGGTGCTCATGACCCCTGTACGCCCCCACATGCACTGTCTTCCCCCTCCTGTCGGAGCGTTGTCCTGGAGCAGAGAGAGAAGAGGTGCCCATGGAGAGGAGTAATGGAGGAACTCACGGCACAGAATCTGTCAGATGCTGAACGCAGCGGGAGCCCATCTGTAACTCTGGAGCCTTCGAAGCAGTGACATTTGGGAAGTATCTGCAACAATGGGGTGCGCCTTTACCAGTTGCCTCCCGGAGACTTTTTTGAATGTTGCAAATGTCAACTTTGCAGGGACGTCTTTTCTGCTTTCAACAACGAGGAGAATTATGTTTCCTCTGCCGGTTTAGAAAGTAAAACCTACGTGGTGGCCCCAGCCCACTTCTGAGGACAGAGTTTCCTCCGTGCGGCCAAGCGGACTCGCTGTCCCCTGTTACAGCCAGACTATTCCATGGAGCTCATGTGTTGGAAACGTCTTAAGAAGATTAAAATTACTGCTTCTGTCCGAGAGGAAAAGCACCATCACATCTCCTCCACCCAGGAAGGTGTTTGCCACCCAGCTTCTGGTTTCCTCTCAGCCTCTAGACCAGCAGCACCAGCATTAGTGGGAAACTTCTCAGAAATGCACATTTGGGGCCTCACCTCAGACCCACAGAATCAGAAACCTCGAGGTGGGGGCCCACAGTCTGTTTCCACAAGCCCTGCGAGGGAGGCCTCGGCCCGCTGCAGTCGAGGACTACTGTTGGGTAGAGCCGAGGGAAGGGCACGTCAGCCTCCATCATAGCAGAACCGTCTGGAGAGCCCCAGACCTCCCTCCCCGCCAGTCCAGTTAGGTCAGGTTATCTGGGAGTCGGGCTTCGGGCATCAGTGTTGTTAGAGCCCGTGGGGGGTCCAACACACAGAGAACGGGGTGCCCGTCACGCCCCTGCTGCCGGGGCGCAGGCATGGATGACAAGGTCAGTGTGAGCTGGGGCAGACGCAGAACTCGGGCCCCGGCCTGCACCTGCCGAGCCAGAATCCCCATTTCACGAGGCCCGGGGATTCCTGCCCATGGAGGTTGGAGGCACGCCGCCTGACTGGGCTGTTGGAGTCCTGAGCCGGTCTGTGCACTGTGCATCCAGCTCTGATTAGTGACGTGCATGTCTCATTACAGGACACAACGGACTACGTGGCATATGTGGCGAAGGACCCCGTTAATCGCAGAGGTAAGCAGTGCTTGACTCCTACGGTCTCTCGGCCACCTGCAGCCAGGCTTCACGCCGGGCTCCAGACATTCCTCATTATCTTCGCGCCCTTGGCCGACTCAAGCATGTGTCCTGGCGCACTGTTAATGACCGTGGGGGTTTGTGGGCAGTCAGGTGCGGCAGCATCCTTGGCCGGGTTGGGAGACACTGGACGACCCTGAGCATCAAACACACACCTGCGTGCAGATGGCTGTAGCTCGGCGCACCTGGCCTGCGCATCACAGATCCCACGCAGGCACACCTGGCCTGCGCATCACAGATCCCACGCAGGCGTACCTGGCCTGCACATCACAGATCCCACGCAGGCGCACCTGCCCTGTGCATCACAGATCCCCCGCAGGCCCTGAACGTGGCCTCGGTGACACCCGGACCCTCTCCAGCCCGCCTGTCCTCCTGCCCAGCTCCAGCTCCGAGGCCAGCTCCACCACCCCGAGAAGCCTCCGCTGCCCGGCACAGCCCTGGAGCACGGGGGCCAAGCTCTCGTGCCGTCCCCCCACACCCCACAATGCTGCCAGGGCCTCAGACGCAGCCTAGATGGGGGATCTGAGGCATTGGAGCACTCTCCATCCTCCCAGACCCTTTATTCCTAGACCCTACCTCCACACCCACAACCCCATTCCTTTGATCATGTACAAAACCCAAGCCCCACCCATGGGGGCTAATAGCCTGGGTGGGGGCAGGCGGAGTACAGTGCGCTACGCTCGAATACGGGTCATCCCACAGCCCCAGTGTAGAACTCACTGCTGAAGATCGCGGCTGGGGATTCCAGCAACACAAAGCAGCCCTTCTGCCTCAGCCGGCTGGTTCCCCTCCCCTCCCACCCTCCACCCCAGGTACCACCTGTTAACATTTTCTAGTTTGCTTTACAGGACTTTTATCTACATATATTCCCTTCTGTTAAAATTCCAATGCGAAGGAGAGCCTAGCGTTCTGTTTCAGCCCCCTCCCCCATAGTACCTCTTGGACACGTTTCCAGGACAGCCCACGGAGAACAGGTTACTGTCCGTGGGGTGACGCCCCGTGACGAGATGTGCCTGCCTGGTGCCAGGTCAGAGACCCCCGGGGGTCCGCATACAGACTCCTTCCCTGCTCTTCCACACGAGGTTGTGTGGCCCCTCCTAGAGGCATTTGCAGAGGGATAGGTCAGTGGACCTTGCCAGTCACCACCCAGTCTGGTTGTAAAAATTTGCATTCCTATGTAAGTGCTCCTTCCAGGCAACACTGGCGAGGTACCGGAGCCTGGAGACGTGGCTTACGTCTGCATCTGCAGGCTCTGCCGCCCTCTCTATCTGACCAACGGGCTCAGCCCTCAGCCAACAGGGAGCTCCCCCTGCAGCCCTGCCCCTTGCAGATGCCCCAGGAACCGATTTAAAGAGAGCCCAGTCCAGGCTTCCGGCTCCCTGCCATGTAGACTAGCAGCCCCGTGGATGGATCCTGCAGCCCCTTCTGCAGAAACCGTGTCCTTCTGCTGTTCTGCTTTTCAGAAGGGAGGGAAACTGCTCATTTTTGACACTTCCCCAGCCTACTCTTCTCCAAACTACCAACCAGGCACCTCGCCTGGCTGGTGGGGACGCAGGGGTGGGTGTGCATGGCTGGAAACAGGAAGGTGGGGACCGGGTGTCCCCCTCCCTCCCGCCCAGGCTCCTGCCTCCTTACGGGCTGGAGGGAGACCTCCACTCCTACCGCGTCACACACAACCATGCGCCTCAAACAGCTACGTAATACGGGCTTGCTCTGTGTTTCCCAGGTTGATGTTTAATAAAAAACCAATACCAATAATAAAATAAAGTAATAGCAATAATCAAGAACAAAAATACAGCCAGGCATCCGTGTCCTTGGGACACACCTCTTGGCCATCCCTAGTGTTCCCAAAGGGCTTGCACTGCGATCCAGAGCTGCTATACAGTCACTCTGCTCTTCTTGGGATATCCTGTGTCCTCAGTGCACCCCTCTCCAGTCTGGGGGGCGGCGAGAAGCCTGGGGACCCCGGGCCTGGCAGCGGCCGTCGGAGAGAGCTCCACCATGCCCAGCCGGCTTTGTGCTGCAAGAGGGCGGTTTGGTGGTGTTGCAGGTGCAGGGACAGCTTCCCTGTGGAATGCCTCCTCCCACCACCTGCCCCTGCAATGCCTCTAGGGAACCCTCCTAAAATACAGTGACGTCCTAACCATTGGCAGGAGCCAGGTGGAGTGTGACACACACACTGGCCCTTTTCCATGGGGAGAATTCCTTTACCCCATTAGTGACATGACCCTGCGGGTCACACAGGGAGGGCGGGGACCCCTGTGGCCCCTGCGGACATGCATCTGGGAGGAGACATCCTACTTTCTCACTGGGCTGGCGGGTGCCTTTGCAAAGCGGCTAAGAGGTGCTCCAGGCCCCCCGAGGGGCCCTCTTCTGGCCACCGACACCCCAACTTTGATTTACGATTTAGCACAAGCTGCTTTTCTGAGAGGCTGCATGAATATCTGGCCTCACATTGGAGCAGGTGCAGGTGGTGTGCGGTGGGAGGGACCCGTGAATTAATATCCCTTCAAACTCATCTTTAATTTGTTTGAGTTGCCACATTCAGTGAGGACACTTAACTCCCACTGGGAGGTCAGCGAACAAGCTGCTCCCCATCCACGGAGTAGCTTAGGCCTCTCCCCGCGAGAGCCAGGTTAGGTCCGTTCCCAGGCCCACGGGGCCTTCGCGGGGCTCACTTCTTGTTACGATTAGGTTCTCTGTCCCATCAACGTTTCCTTCCAAACCCTGGTTTGTTCTGCTGGGCTCGGTGTTTGTACTTTATAGACTGTTAAGAAATTCCTAAGAGCAATCAATTTGAAATTACAAATGTCTAAGTGTATTTACAAATAGAACCAGTAGTTTAGAGAGCAGAGCCGTTAAGAGACACGTCCCCGTGGTGATGCTCTACCGCGGTGGCGCAGGGAGCAGGCTGCAGGTGGCGCTGCAGGGACAGCCTGTGAGGGACACGCGCCCCTCCTGTGGCGGAGCCTGGTGGCCCCGGTGTCTCTGACCGGCCCTGCCGCTTGCGCTCACAGCTTGTCACATTCTGGAGTGCTGCGATGGGCTGGCCCAGGATGTCATCGGCTCCATCGGACAGGCCTTTGAACTCCGGTTTAAGCAATATTTGCAGTGTCCTTCCAAGGTGCCCGCGTTCCACGACCGGTGAGTAGCGCTGTGACACCCTTCACAGTGGCCTTCTGTATTTTACAGTCTTTCCTCTTAAAGCCACTTGAGAGGAGAAAATCACGAAACGGCCTCCACAGGGTGTGGTCTGGATAGACGTGCTTGATCACAGGGCTCCGGGCTCAGAGGCACCTGGTGGGGCCGGGCTGAAGCTCAGGAGCCCCACAGATGGAGGCCGACATATGGGCGATGCTGTGAATGTTGAGGAGAACATTTTCTAGAAACTATAGAGACGGTAGCCAAGGTTACAGGGATGCAGTGTAATATGTTTGGTGCTGTTTCCTCTGCAACCAGGTGCGGGTCCCACGTGTCTCCTCCTTGGGTCTGCTCGGCGCAGGTGCGACACGCACCTTGTCCTCGCCGTCATGGTTAGCATGGCCATGACGTGGGGCCCTGCCACGAGGCCCTGGGCTGGGTGGCCTGGGGACACTGAGCCTCCTGCGCCCTGGGCACGCACGCCCGTAGCCAGGATGAGCCCCGGCAGCTCTAGCTCATCGGTCCTTCAAGTGTCTAATGAAAGAGTAAATACGAGTAGGAATTGTAGGAAACCTTCAGGATGTACCACCGAGTTTCCTCAGGACAGAAGAGCATTCTGTGCAGCACAAAGGCCCCAGAGAAAGTTACAGGGGGCATGTCAATAGTCTGTCTTTGCTCGGGCGCGCATCACGAAAGCCTCTTCCGACAGTGTGTTTGCTGTCAATGAAACCTTATTTCTCCAGAATTTGCTTTCCGCTCTCGCTCCAGTGTCCACAGCCATGTTCTGTGGCTTCCGCATGAAAGCGGTGTCTACCTTCACCTTCATTATTACAAAGGCGTCTCTCACCCCTCTGAGTTCTGCCCCTTTCATGACTGAGGCTTTTAATCCATTGTCTCATCTCCCGGGAAATGGCTTTTAAGACATCCGTTTGGGAGGTGCCTGGGAAGACCCTACTCTTCCCAGCTGGTAGAAGCTTCCCCGAGCTCAGACGTGCCCGTGTTTGGGAAGAGCAGTTAGTTACAGTGTGGAAGGGCATGTTTTCATACTCTGTACAATGTATACACCGTATATAAAATTTGTAAGTTTGTTCACTATTCTCCTGCCACTTTTAAGTTTTATATATAATGGGACATAGTCATTAGAAAGAGTAGATTGGTATAGGTGTATTACCAGAATAAATCTCAAAAATCTTTTTTTTAAAGATTTTATTTATTTATTTATTTGAGAGAGCGAGAATGAGAGAGAGAGAGAAAGAGCACATGAGAGGGGGGAGGGCCAGAGGGAGAAGCAGACTCCCCGCTGAGCAGGGAGCCCGATGCGGGACTCGATCCCGGGACTCCAGGATCATGACCTGAGCCGACGGCAGTCGCTCAACCAACTGAGCCACCCAGGCGCCCCTAAATCTCAAAAATCTTAAATGGAAAAGGATAGGAAATATTTATGGAAGTTTTAAAACCAATAAATAAAATTGTGCGTGTAGTTTATGGATAAATGCGTGTGCCTGAAGAGTACAAAAACATGTAAGAATATTGTACATTGAAAGGGTCTCAGAGCCGTTTTGCCCCCTCCTATGGCTGTCAGGCTGCTGGTTTTCACTGTGATTGTGGGCTGTTGGTTTTCAAGGCTACCATAGAGACAGGAATAGGGCAAGTTAAAATGCCACAAGCCACTGTTCTTATAGCTGTTTGCTTAAAAAACATACACACACACACACAAATATTAGTTTGCTGCAAGCTTCTGATTAATTTCCAGGGTTCTGAAAAAGTTGATTTTGAAAAACATTTTTTTTCTAGTTTTCTTGTTTGTTTTATGGAAGAGAGAATTTTCAGAGATTTTTACTCTGTCATTTTTTCTGATGTCACTAAAGTCTCCACTTTTAGTTGATTATGCTTTGACTTAGGGAAACGAATGTGCCTTGAGGATCTGGCTATCTCTAGATATAAATCCTTTCTTTCCTAATTAAATGTCCTTTTGAAAAAGGAGTTCTTCCCTGTTTCAAATATGATTGGAATTTTCCAGAAAGTAGAACTGCAGATAAGGTAGAAGTATCTGGCCAAACCATTCATCTGCTCTTTAGGGTTGAGATCTAGATAGTGAGGAGACAGTGACTAACTCTCTTTTCTGGGGTAGCACATCCTCACATTAGGTTTGTTGGTTTTGACAACAAGCTCCGCTTTTGGCTAAAGCTCTGGAAAATCTTCTTCTAACAGAATGCAGAGTCTGGATGAGCCTTGGACGGAAGAGGAGGGGGATGGCTCAGACCACCCATACTACAACAGCATCCCAAGCAAGACACCTCCTCCAGGGGGTTTCATAGATGTGCGGCTGCACACCAGACCCCATGCCCCCGACACAACCCAGGTGAGTCTTGTACCTCTGCCTGGGTCGTGGCCGCCTGAGCTTTATTTCCTTTCATCTTCCACTTGATTGACGGGCTGTGTTCTGTCCAGTCTTTGACAGAATAACTCACTTGTTTTCTTCCCTGGGATGACACAAAGCAGACAAGTAGGGGAGGCTTTTGTTTTAACATCCCAAGGTGTTAATCAGATGTCTTGGAACTATATTAGGATTCTGGAGGTACGAGTCTGGGGGTCTCCTCTCCATCCTGGGACAAATCCCATTATACTGGGAGCTCAATGAGAAGAAGAGTTCAAGACTTTTAAAAGGCCTGGGGGCACTTTGCATTCCCCGAAAGGAGAGTGGATGTGGGCCCTTGAAATGATGAGAATTTTATGAGCCTTCTCTTTTACTCCTTTCCCTGATTTTTTCTCCAAATCAACATTCCAGTAAGGCAATTGTTTTTTAGAGTTGCAGTATCTCTATTTCATTATGGAGAATTTTTTGATGTCACCTACCTTGTGCGAATAACAATGACACTAATAAGAGTGGCAAAATAACAGTGACATCAAGACTCAGTAGCTCTGACGCAGAGATGGATGGGGTGGGCTTGGCCAGCTGCGCGTGGTTGTGGGAGGCATGATCTACACAAACGCACCAGCCGAAGTTGACTTTACGAGTCATGGCGCTGCGTTAAGAGGGCTCCATTTTCGGCCACACGGAGGGAGGGTTGATGCTGGAAAATGAAAACAGGATGGGCACGTGTAGTTTTGATGTGATGCAGCCTCTTCCTCACACCCACGCAAACCTATTTCCCAAATCCTAATGCCGACCGTGAGGCATGAAGGGAAAGTGGGAGTAATTGGGAAAGTACCCGACCCTCCGTTGGGGTCCCTTGTACTGCACTGTGGCTTTTAGAGATGGGGAAGGGGGCAAGGATGCTTTTTCTCTTTATGCATTTACATGTGTCTGTAGTTTGCAGGAAAAGAGCAAACTTACTACCAGGGGAGACACTTAGGAGACCCGTTTGGCGAAGACTGGCAGCAAACACCTGTCAGGCAAGGTGAGAGGCAGGGTGAGGCGGGTGGGCCTCGGGGCACCCTTGGCCCAAGCTAGGAGGTCCCCTGAAGGCACTGCCTGTGGGTGGGGGTCCTCGATCAAGCGCTCACCTTGGGCCTCCTTCGTGGAGACTGGGGCACGAAGGTCTGCTCTGTTTGTGAGGAAGGGTGCCTGGCATTGCTTTGCTAGAATGGAGTCGATTTACAAAGCACCCACTTAGACTTAAAGGCAAAACAGGGCAATTTAAATGAGGCTGTGGCTCTTCTGCTCCGTTCCTTGCTTTGGGGCCTCTGTAAAGGAGATGAGGGGCCCCGGGCAGCCTCCCCGCTGTGCCTGCTCTGCTCCCCCACCCAGGTCAGGGCCAGAGTCTCGGCCAGGCCCTAGAGATCACGTGTCCACCCTCGCAGGCTGCCTGGTCACATTTTGACATGAAGGCTGGGAAATCGTCCGGGCCAGAACACAACAGCAGTGCCAGGGTCCGAAGGGGGGCATTAGACCCGCAAGAGGAATTATCTAACAGCCCATAGGATCGTCTCCGTGTGGGGTGGGGCAGCTTACGGGCAGTTGCGCCCATGGCCAGCCTTTCCGTTGTAAGAGAAGAGGGGGCTCGTTTTCTTGTCGCAGGGTCCTTGGACATCTACGGCATGCCGGAGGGGAGAGCGCCCGCGGCCCCTGGAGAAGCCCCCACCTACGTGAACGCGCAGCACCTCCCGCCACAGGCCACGCCAGCCTCAGGCAGCAGCGCGGAGAGCAGCCCGCGGAAGGACCTCTTCGACATGAGTGGGTTGCCATTCGTCTGGGTTTCCTGTCTTCTGAGGTTGCTTTCTGCCATGGCTTCTGCTGAAACCTGTGCAGTTAGCATGCTTTCTGCTAGCAGGGTTCTGATGAACAGGGATGACTGTCTGCACTTCTCTGGGTTGTGATTGGGCTTTTCAGGGCTTTGAACTCGGCTGACCTCTGCTTTGGGATGACAGCCCTCTCTGAGGTCCGGAGGCAGAGTAATTTCCCCTCTTTTGGGAACTGACTTTCCTCTTGAAGAGCTGCCCATGCATTGAGGCAAATGATACACACACAAAGCACTCGTTTATTCACTTAAATATTAGTCAGCTGTTATGTTCCAAATACCATATCAGTTGCTAAGGATGCCAAGGTGAAATGCATGCCCCTGCTTCACAGAGCCCTCGGTCTGTTGAGCAGGACCAACACGTACGCAAGAAAGGGCGATACACCTCGCGTGCACACACTCGCTCGCTCTCCCGTATTCCTGGTATTCACATACCATTCTGCTTACTGGGGTCTGCAGGAAAGCCAAACAGAGGGTCTCGTGGAGCGTAAGTAACCACGGTGTGTTCGCGGGTAACAACAAGTGCCCGGGGGAACCCCAAAACAGGATGAGGAGTGTGACAGGAAGCTCCTCAGCAGTGCAGAGATGTGCTCTATGGACCTTCGATTTGTTGTGTGGACTGGGACGCGTAAATCATCCATGAACTTGGTAATGGAAGTGGGAATTGTTGCTAAGGAATTTTGAAGGAGCTTCTCGAGTTCACAAAGAACTTTACATCTCCATATTGCTTTGTCAGCTCCCTGAGAATTTTACAGGCTAGAGAAATCCCTTGAGAATTTAACAAGTTTCTGCCATGTGCTAGGCACCTGTTACTTTAATTTCTGCAACAGTCCTGCGGGTAACTACCATTATTGTCACTCTGTCACAGAGGAGAAAAACACAGGCTCCTAGAGGCTGGTCAGGGCAGCCTTGCTGGTATGGCGCGTGCTCTCTGTGGTGCCGTGTGTGAATGAGGATGTGCTTGAGTGCTGCTACGATCAGGCAGCCTCCTGACCACAAAAGTCTCTTTCTCCTCAGACACTTTGGTTTCCCACGCAGTGGATTTCCATTCTGACTTGCAAAAATCACCACTGACAGAGAACTGAGGACTCTTGGGGCTTGGAGGCACCTTAACAGTCATTGGATCAAATCCCATCTCTTAAAAAATGTGGGAACAGTCTCAGAAGTATGAAGTGACTTTCCCAAGACACAGAGCAAAGTGGCAGCTCTCTGAGCGTCTGTTCCATCTCTAATGATGTTTCCCAACTGCAGTTTAGAAGCAATACTTATGGTCAATTTTCACTGTTTAATTTAGTCAATTTACCAGTGGCTCTTGGCCCCAGAGCCTGAGGAGAGGTAGATAAGGGACGAGGGTTTGAGATGGGAAAAGTGAGAACCAGAGCCACCCTTTGTCACCATCAATTTCCTCCTGCTCCCAAACCAGAGAAGGGGAGACAAGAAGAAGGGCCTGGAGAAGCTAGTTTCTATTGAAAAGTCTGGAAAAAGAATTAAGCCAGCACTCTGTGTTGTTTCTCTTAAACCACCAGAGCTAAATAATGATGGTGCTGCTCCTGGTGCTGATGGTAGTAGTGGTGATGATGGTGATGGTGGTGAGGATGGTGGTGGTGATGGTGGTGATGGTGGTAATGGTGGTGATGGTGGTGAGGATGGTGATGGTGATGGTGACGAGGATGATGGTGGTGATGATGGTGATGGTGGTGATGATGGTGGTGATAATGGTGATGATGATGGTGGTAATGGTGGTGATGATGATGGTGGTGATGGTGGTGATGATGATGATGATGGTGGTGATGATGGTGGTGATAACGGTGATGATGATGGTGATGGTGGTGATGATGGTGGTGATGATGGTGATGGTAGTGATGATGATGGTGATAATGGTGATGATGGTGGTGATGGTGATGATGATGATGGTGACCAGGATGGTGGTGGTGATGATGGTGATGGTGGTGATGATGATGGTGATAATGGTGATGATGGTGGTGATGGTGGTGATGTGATGGTGAGATGGTGGTGGTGATGATGGTGATGGTGGTGGTGGTGATGGTGATGGTGATGATGGTGATGATGATGGTGATAATGGTGATGATGGTGGTGATGGTGGTGATGGTGGTGATGGTGGTGATGGTGATGGTGATGAAGGTGGTGGTGATGATGATGGTAATGAAGGTGATAGTGGTGATGGTGGTGAGGATGGTGATGGTGGTGATGATGGTGATGGTGGTGATGGTGATGGTGGTGGTGATGATGGTGATGATGATGGTGATGGTGCTGATGGTGGTGAGGATGGTGATGGTGATGGTGGTGATGAAGGTGATGAAGGTGGTGATAATGATGATGGTGATGAGTATAGTGATGGTGGTGGTAATGGTAGTGATAACGCTGATGATGGTGGCAAGGTGATGTTGATGGTGGTCATGATGGTGGTGGTGATGGAATGATGAGGGTGATGATGGTGACAATGGTGATGGTCTTCATAGTGATGGTGGTGGTGGTGATGGTATAGAAACGTTACAATAAAACTTTTCAACTACTCCAGGTAATCAGGAAGAAATAGGATAAAAAGAGCAAATCTATTTTTAGGCAATAGTTTTAACCTGCTTTTATTCCCAGATTTGTGAGTAATTTAACAAGTATCAAAATGCCCTGATTTGGGTTTCATTTATTCACCTGACCCCTGCCCATCCTCTACTAACAATTGGTCTCCTTCTAGAGCATTTGTCGAATATTTGTGGGTATGGAGCAGCGTTGGATCTGGGGACGTAGTTGTGCCCAGGAGAGAACCGACCCGTTCCCGGGGTTCAGGCACTGTGCTGCTTGGCAATGTGTCGCCATCCTCACACCTTATGCTCTGCAGCACCGTGTGCATTTTCGAGTGCTTTTGTACATATTACCTCATTTGAAAGTGGAGAATTGGGGTTTCATCAGGTGTCCCTGGAGACTTTTTGTGCTGCTGTTGTCTGTTGCCCTCGGTGGAAAGTGTGTCCTGAAGGGCGTGCAGTCATGCTTGAGCTCAGACACTCACACAGAGCCTTTTTCCACAGAGGAACAAGCGAAGGCCAAGGGGAGGTGGTGCTCCTAACCTGGGGCAAGTCACACGAAAGGGCCCCCAAAAATGTCAGTCTTCTTCTCTTTTAAAAATTGGCCTGATGCAAGAATTTTGAAACAAACATCTGATGGTTGGGTATAGGTTTTGCACTAAATCTAACTTTGCAGATTATCATCCTGTTCGTGTATTTCCGTTAGCATTGGCAGGTTTTCATTCAGAAGAAAACCGATTTATTAAAAGGCTAGCGGATGTTCCAGAAGAAGTAGATGGCCTGCAATATGTGTGGCCTTGTGCAGCATGCAAAAGTGAAGTCATTCTAACTGGCTAGACAGAGGGTGTGGTTGAATCCCTGGCATGAGGCACAAGCGCCCAGCTGTCTTGGGAAGGCAGACTCGTCAGAAAATCATGCCAAGGTTTGGGCTGTGGTTAATATTGCCAGCCAGTCATTTTTCTGTAGGTTTGTTTCTGGTGGAAGTTGCCTTGGCATTTCCATCGATCACGTTGAGCATTCTGTCATTTGTTCTTCTTGGGGTTCACTTGTTTCTGGCGATTGTTGTTGACAGAACCTTTTGAAGATGCTCTCAGGAACCAGTCCTTGGGGCCTGCGCTGAGCAAAGCAGCCTCGGTGGAGTGCATCAGCCCCGTTACCCCCAGAGCCCCAGATGCCAAGATGCTGGTGGAGCTGGAAGGGGAGCCTTGGTACCAAGGGGAGATGAGCCGGAAGGAGGCCGAGGGGCTGCTGAAGAATGATGGGGACTTCCTGGTCAGGAAGAGTGCCACCAACCCAGGCTCCTTCGTCCTCACGGGAATGCACAATGGCCAGGCCAAGCACCTGCTGCTTGTGGACCCGGAAGGCACGGTGAGCACAGGGCGGGACACGGCCTGCCTCCTGACAACAGTCTCCCCTTGGTCTCTGTGCTGGGTGACCACACTTTCCCTCCACTACCCACACGGGCTGGCTGAGGTCTTGGCGGCCACTCCTCCAGGACCCGGGAGCCCAGGAGCAGAGGGCTTGTGAATTCAGGCCAGCACCCAGCTTGCGCTTGGAAAATCACGAGGCATGAGTTTCCAGCTTTAACGCTGATGTCCTTTACAATAAATAAATACAAATACTGAGAAAGTCTTCCTGTCCAATACATTCTTAGTGGATACGGAAGTGCAGGGGTCCTGGGCTTTTAGTATTTACCTCAAGTATCTCTAAAAGTTGAGTCACCGAGTTTCTATTCCTAGAGTGCACACTGTGATGAGGCCCTACATAAAGCCCCTATTAATTAGCCTCTTGCTTTCCCACTCGGGGAAGTCATGCCTCGTGACAGTGAGTTTGGCCTTTCCTGGCAGCACAGTCGTGTCTAAGAGCTCTGTGGGTTTGCCTGCATTTCCCATCCTCTAGCCAATAAAGAGATTCGACTTGATCTTGGCACAGTCCAAGAATTATTAACTTTAATAAATATAATGACATTAACTGAACCGTTAAATAAATTCCAGGATTGTTGTTTAAAACCTGTTATCCAGTGAAAACAAAGATGCAGGTAGCGTGATCAAATAGTAGCTAAGAGCATTGCTTGTCCTGATTGACCGGTAGGGATGAAGTCTCAGTCTTCGGTTGGACTTGAACGCAATTTAATTTAATTTGGTGGCGGGGGACCTGACCTAATTTACAGCTTCAGGTGTCTGCACCTCGGCTCTATGCCTCCTCTCCTCCCTGCACCTGGACAACCCCTCCCTGGGAACGTAATGTGAATCCTTCCAACCCACCTTCTTCGGTCAGTCGTGGGAATTTTTCCCACAGATATACTTTGGGGAAAATAGATACTGTGTGTCTGTGTCTTTGCAATCATGATAGTGCCTCTCAAGTTCCCATTTCATTTCGTTCGTTTTTCCCTCCACACATGTTTTTGAGATCTGTCTGTGTTGCTTTCCATATGCGGAATCATCACTTGGCTGGGCTGCCAGGCATCCCCTGTCCGCGGCCACACGTCACTTGTGGAAATGTCCTGGGGAGGGCTGAAGGCACTAGGAAGCCTTCTGCGTGTTTCCCCACGATGGTCTTTCTGGGGCACATCCTAGGACTGGGGTTTTTGCTCACAGGATATGCGTATAGTTAGTGTCACCAGGGGCTGGTGTTTGCTTCCGGAATGGCTGGACTACTGGGGGGCGAGGCAGCCGAACACCGGGGTTCCCTCCTCCGCCTCCTCCATGTTGTCCTCCCAGCATGGCACATCTGGGGGATGTGGCAAGGAGGAAAGCATGTCTCCGTTGTTGGCTGTGTCGTCCTTCAACCCGCATCCTCAGGTTCCTCCTGGAAACGTCACATTCCCACCTTTCCACCATGCTTTTCTTCTGATCTTCTACCTGGACCCTTCTGCTGAGTTTCTCAGACATAGAATTTCCAAATGAATGCTCCCATTTTTTCACATATCTGATCATTTTGTCCGTGATGTTCTCCACCAAATAGAAGTTTCCCTTTTATAAAGGTTTACGGTCTTGAGTTTTAGAAGATTTCCTCACCTGCAGTCACGGACATACTGTGTTCTTCTATGTTTTCTTCGTTTGGCTTTGAAAGCTTTATTTTTCACATTTATGTTTTAATTCTCACTAGAGGTACTTCGAAGATGACCTAAGATAGGGAGCCCAAGTTGCTTAGATCTCCAGGCAGTGAGCCAACGTTGGGTCATATGGATGGTCCTTGTGTTACGCACTCTGCACTCTGCAAGTCCAGCTGTTTCTCGAGCGTCTGCCCTGTTCTGTCCAACTGACCGTTCAGTCCTGGTACAAGTACCACGCCATTTGGTCATTATGGCTTTGAAACATTCTTAACATCTGGCTTAACACCTTCCTCTTGAAACTCCTTTTTGTATTCTCTAGTGTAGCTTTCTCAGACCTTTATTCCTCTTTGTTCTGGTTTCAGAGTCAGTTTATCCAGGCACCGAAAATGCATGATTTTGGTAGGACTGGCGTTGAATTTACAGATGAGTTTCGGGGGAGTGCTGATAGTTTTTAGCATTAAATCATCACGTCCATGAACATGGCATGATCTCTACTTATTTAGTGTTAAGATGTCCTTTGTTAGAATTTAAAAATTCCCTCCAGGAAGTTCTTGTGCTTCCTCTGTTTGGTTCCATCCTAGAGTGTCTGGTTTTAATCTTGTAAGTCGTGTGTTATTTTGGTTACGTTTTCCCAACGGTGATTGCTGCAGGAAGAGGAATGTGGTGTGATCTCATGCCCAGAAATCTTGCTGATTGCAGCATTTTTTCCAGAACGGTGGTCGTGCCATGGCAAACAGCAACAGCCGTGTCTCCTGCCTTCCAGCTTCCAACCCTGCGGGATGGTCTCGCCCCATGGCACTCACCAGGCGCCCTTGGGCGTTGACCGGGAGAGGGCGCCCTTGTCTTGTTCCCAGCCTGTAAGGGGCTGTTGGAGGCTTTGTTCCATTAAGAATGATGCAAGCATTGGGTAGATTGTCTTCATCAGCCCAAAGGATGTCATTCCCTCATTCATTCGCTCACTGCACAACGGTGCACCGAATAGCTACCAAATCCAGGCATTGGTTTTGATACCTGGGCTACGGCCGAGAACCCATTACAAAACACACCCTCTGCTTGTGTGGAATTTGTGTGTATTAATTTCTTAATTACTTTTGGGATACTGGATTTTATCAAATGCTTCTTCAGCATTGCCTGAGATAATGTAATAGTAATGTCTTTTCTTGAGTCCATGAACGTGGGGATTTGCACAGGCAGGTTTTTCTGATGCTACGTCCTGGCATGAGCCCTGCTTGGTCCTAACATAGTCTTCACAAGCTGCGTTGCTGGATTTGGGGATCTAACAGTAACTTTAGGGTGTTCCCAGCTGTGCTTTCTAAGTGAGGTTGGTCTTCATGGTCTTTGCTGCCTTTTGCTTGTGTTACTCATCTGGTTGGGGTGTCAACATTATAGGGTTATGTTCACCTCTTACAACAAGCTAGGCTCACCCCAGATCAAAGAAGCCTTCCCTCCCCATCGCATCTTACATAGAATCCCCTGGAGGGCCCCTATTTACGCACCATGATTTATTTTCACCTTGAAGCCCTTATCACAAACAGGCGCTCATTTATTTGCTAACCTGCTTATTAAGTGGTTTTCCCCCCTGGATTGTCGTCTCTGTGAGGTGAGCAGGCCTAGTCAACGCGCTACCCCAGCACCTGGAAGAGCGGGTGCTCGACACGCGTGTGGCAGGTGAGGGAGGCACAGGGGGACATGGGGCTTTCACGGGAGCTGAGAGCCCCAGAGTCCACATGGTGCTAAGGGGCCCAAGCTACTGATGGGGATGTCATCACAGATAAGCTTTTCTAAACAGAATCCATGCAGAGCGATTTCCATTTGCAAGGGCTGCTACTAATGCATCTCTGTTTTCTGAAAGAAAATACCCAAGCAAATCTGTGAAAAGATAAAAATTGTAGTTGAAACTTTCAGGTATTTTTTAAGGATGAGAAGTTCATAGTTTACCTAAATTATACCATCTCATAGAGGGAAGACAGTTAATGTTTTATTTACTCAGTCTTTATAAACACAGGGATGATTAAGGAAGGGCAGGTACGACCACTACCACACACGCGCACACGGGGGGCAGGAAAGTGCCAAAGGTGAGGGGGGCCAGGCGGCCGTGAGCTCACACCAGGTGCTGGAGCGAGCCACAACCCCAGGCTGTGCTGTCCACGCGGCTTTAATTTCGGAGGAGAAGTTTGTAGTGCCGCTGAGAAAAACTGTAAGTCCCACCTCCTAATAACTGTTCTTTTGGGAGGCTTTTTGCTGGATCTGCTGATCTAGTTTAATTGATCCAGTGGAGGAGGGCTTCAGCTGAGAAAGACTTAATCACAAATGTAATGTCGCTTCTTGCTGTTAGGACACCAAAATAGACGATGAACACATTCTCTTCAATATTTATTCATCTGATTTTCATGGTAATTGGTTGGTCCCTGACTATAAAGGGGGAAACTTGGCAGAACAGATTACTCAGAGAAAGAAGGATGCAAAACAGTTCTGAGTCTAAATTTACTGCAGAGTACACCAACCTGTGCGCCTTCCCAGTGCACACTGATTGTGCAAGACAGGGGCTCCTGGGGTCGCTGGAACCTCGGGGGTCGAGGAGGGCAGTAGCAGGGCTCCTGAGCCCCCAGGCAGGTGTGGGGCCGCAGCTGGGCTGACGCTGGCGCCAGGCTCTGCAGGAGCAGCTCCAGAGGTGGAGTCTGGAGCGCTGGGTTTTTCTGCAACATCTTCACCACCATTCAGTCAGCCCTCTTGAGCCTAAGATATTCCCCGAGGCCCCCGTCCTGGATTCATCCCTTTGGCGGGAAGGGCCAGCAGAGCGGGGCAAGCACGTGCTTGCGTTTGAATGAGAGGCACCTGCACCGTGGCTGGTGTTCCATGGGCTTCCCGAACGTGGTCTCAGGGTGTGGCACCTTTGAAAAGCACAAGTCGGCTTTGCATTTGGGAAATCACAAAACAATGGCAACCATCCAACACCCCACATTTATTAGGATTTTATTTTATTCTGAGAGTAATTAAGAAAATAAATCCCCCCATCCCTCCACTTAAAAAAGCCTTGTTATTTTAAAATTCCCTTTGTCTCAGGCCAACTAGGCTATGCTGAATTGACAAATGACATGGGATGTCTCACTGGTTTGAGGCTCTTCTGCCCCCCGGGTCCTTGGTTGGGTGACTCGGGTCCTGGGGGGCCTCTGTCTCCCGGGTCTGCCTTGTTAACCTGGGGTCTCCAAGGAGGAGAGAGGGGTGGAGGGAGCAGGGCTGTCGGTGGCCTCGCCAGGGACTCTTCGGCTCATACGGACCTGACTGCAGGAGACACGAGAGCCATGCAAGGTGC